CTTACGGCGCCGACATTGACAGAATGTGTTGAAGCTGGAGCACTCGAGGTTGTGGAAGGAGAGGATGAAAATGTCTGCGCGTAGCCCAAATGGGCTGCAAATAGCAGAAGACCCAGATTGGCAAATGACAACATATTGCCTGACAATAACCTGTAAAGCAGATTTCAATGAGCAAGCGATTCAGCAGGATTGTCAATTAAGAAGCGTTTTTGTCAAGCAGCGGCCTGTTCAGGTGCTGAAGAAAGATTCCGATGAAGTGCAGTTTCAAACCACGGAGCTGGGGCTGCTGGGCTGCTGGGTTGCTGGCACAGGTGTCACGTTCGATAAGCTGGCATCTTGTGGCTTTCAAAGGATGCTTTGTTCTGGATGCTGATGACCGAGTTGCGAGCCTTTGTTTGCTTCTGGGGCTAAGCGAGGCCATTCGATCCAGGAGCTTCAAGCCCGATTATAGACCAGGTTCAGCCTTCCTCATGCACAGCTGTCAAAAGCTGCGGCTTGGATTCGCTCATCTCCACACAGCCCGCCTTTTCTTCACTAGCTAATTGCCACACATCCGAAAGCATGCATGGTTGAAAATAGATCTTACAGGACAAGGCTGGGATAAGCTCGGAATTTAAGAATTAACATTAGACTTGTGAAGGATATTTCAAGTACAAAAGCAAAGCGAATAAAGACACAGGATCAAGTCACAAAATAAGTCACCCGAGAGTAGATATTTGTAGATAGGGTGTATTGCTTCAGGAGGGTGCGTACCGACTCTAAGTGCCGATATGTTGCATGCCCGGGAAAGCAAATTGGTGGAACTATGGCGGTATGAGAACCTTCTCCACCGAGATTCGATGCGCTAGAAATCAAACCAAGCTTGCAGACGATCTTGCCTTGCAGAGAATGCATCCAGCTGGCTGGGGAGTGCCCGGCGGTCAATCCGAGGCCTACGGCTCTCATTCCTCCACCAGCAACAAGCGTGTTGCATGCCCAGCCTCATTGATGTGCGGGGGAACCGTGTAACACAAAAACACAGTTGAAGCATCTGTCAGATATGGCAGGAAGCCATGATAGGACACAGCCCCCAATTCACACCAGTTTCCGCTGCTCTCGCGGAGCGTTCTAGCCTTGAAATATCCATCCTTTGCTAAGATACCTCGGCCGCTGCTCAGTTGACCTTCTCAAAAGTGGTGATGATTGGTTTCGCCGCCTATAGAAGAACATTAGCATTGTCTCGAGATGATGAAAGGCCATACATACATCAATGAACGTCTCCAAGTCTTTGTCCAGAGCAGCCAAATCATCCTTGCGCTTCTTATTCTCCGCAACAAGGCCTAATTTCTTCTTTAGCAGACCCTGTCTCTGACTTTCCAAGGCTTCGCGCTCGGCATGTTCGTGGTCGATACGTGCGGTCATGAGCGCATTCTCGTCGGCGTCAGCGTGTTCTGGGTGTTCGGCGAGGAATTGTTCGACTGGAATGAGAGGGAGTTGAGTGTATTTGTGACTACGTAGATAATTAGCTTTTGCAGAATCATTGGGCCGAACTAGGTAGCATACTCAAAGGATTCACAGGCAGCGATCTCTCCTTGAAGATGTCGTTGCTCATAGTATAGGTTCTGGAGTTGGAGATGTAGCTTATCGACCTCTTGGCGCGCTTCCGCCGTCACGGCCTTGGTCTCTCGAGCAGCCATATGCGCATCGCGGTGGAGGCCTCGTAGTTGCGCGAGGTAGGTAAGGAGGAGCTTCTGCTGCTTGGAGACCTGGATCTGGAATTCATCGGAGGGCGTGGATGTCGCGGGCTGGTTGGAGACGAAGTCGAGGAGTGCGACAGCTTGCTCCCGAGCTTGCGCAGATGTTTCCAGGGCAGCTTTGAGACCTGGATCGGTGACGATGTCTTTGATTGCCATGATGAGCGCGTTATTTAAAGGGCGATCTTGTGGCTGGAGGATATGGTGGATGTGTTGCTCAACTTGCTCTTTCGCGGCAGTTAAAGTAGGGATGAGCAAACCGCGCCAAGGAATTCAGCCTTGTCAAAAGCTCCGCTCAAGAGCTCGAAAGTCACCAGGCGATCAGGTTCAGGAATCTGCGAGAGATGAAGGATTGCAAAGCAACACATTAGGACCACATTTCCTATTCATGCGAAGATACTCTATGCATAGTTACATCACGTATGACTTGGCAAAAGTTCGTACGTACATCACTTTGTCACGACAAGCAAATACGTCAATGCATTATTCTTCATTCATGACATGCAGCCTCACCCTCCAACGCCACAAAGACAAAGCCCATAAGATACATGATACTCCCAGATTCTCATAAATTCATCCACCAACAGTGATCTCTGCAGTGGGATCTTTCCTAATATCTAACTCCATGAGACCCTCTTGCTTCTCAATCACCAAACCCTTCTCGTTAGCCAGATGCAGCAAGCAAATGAAACAATAACTGGTCGAGATATCATTCATAGCTTGCTTTGGGTAGACGCTTTGCAAATTCTGCATCACTGATGTGAATTTCAAACTGCCGTCTTCTCCCTTCTTTGGCTCAGGTTGAGGTGTAGGTAATCGTCCAGGTGCCTGGGTTGGCAGGTTCTGCAAAGCGTTAGAAGACATCCAGCAGCAGTATCAGGGATGCAACTTACAAGGTCAAGTGCCTCAATACCCATACCTTTCCACAGCTCTTCCTTCAATCTTCTCACGTCGACTTTCTTCGCGACACGAGCATACTGTACATACTCCGGTCTCATTCTTCTACTTTGGGTGACGAGTTGGGTTCCGAAAGCGCCTTCTTCTCCCTCGGGAAGTTGAGTCATGCCACCATTCAGCACGTTGTTGATACCTGCCATACCACCCTCTCCACGCTCCTCGGCACCTGGTGAGAAGTGGTCTCGAGCATCAGCGAATTCAATGTCATCATCATCATCAATTCCTCCAGGCATGGGTAAACCATCATCTTGGAAGAAGTTCGCATCGTAATCACCCTGAAGCGCATCATCAGCTCCAGCAGGCCCTTCATTCTGTGCCCAGAAGGCTTCATCCATTTCACCCTCAGGAGCCTCTTCTTCCTTCCGCTGACCGAAGCCGGTAGTCTTCATCCCGAGACCAGATCTGCGATTACCCATGCGGGCCTTGGGCTTCAAGAAGAGTCGGAGTAGTTGCTTGGAGTTGAAGTGCTTGTCATCTGGGAGAAGATTCCTAGTCTTGGATTTCCAGTCTTTCTTGGGTAGAGAGATGACGTTATTGGAAGAGGCTGGGGTGTATATGGTCTCTGCTAGGCTTGCAGAGAGAGGAGAGAGGAAATCGATTTCGAAAAGTTCCTTCTCCTTCCGTACTTTGGTGGCTGAAGCTGGCTTGTTGATGTCCTTGATCTTCCGAATTCTCCAATGCTCTGGTCCAGCCCAGTTCTTCTGAAGTGCCTCATCGAAGTAACTCAAGATATCGTCATGGCCGCCCTGCTGTATCTTTGAGCCGTGATCCAAAGATACAATGTACTCGCCAGTTTCTGGATCGAAAGCACCGGCTCCTGCGCTTTCTCCATCTTCGCCATCCGCACCGCCCATACCATCATTGTCGAAGCCTCCATCATGCACACGCATTCGGGTTTCGATCGCAGCGTCTCGAGCCCAAGCCTCACCACCCTCACCAAATCCAGCATCAGCAGGGATGTCAAAGCTCCCAAGCAATCCATCTTCGTCATCATCAAAGCCGATTGGGTTATCATCATCGAGGAAGATTCCTGATTTGTCGCCAACAGCAGTTTCGACAGGTTTGTCTTTCTCTCTCCAGTCTTCTGGAGCTTTCAGGAATGGAATGTCCATGGTGCCAGAGGGATCTCCCAAGTCGAAGTTCTTCAGCGATGGGCAGATATCTTGTCCATCCAAGATATCCAAAGTTGGAAAGAATTTGGCACCGAGAGCTCCGATATCGATTTCGAGATCCTCTTCATCCTCTTCAGGATCTTTTGTAGTGGTGTCGATCATCGAATCGGGTTCGGTTTCCTCCTCCTCCTCGAGAACGGCGCCCTTTCTTTGTCTCCCTTGGCCCTCACCAGAAGCGTCGCCAGCATCGTCACTGCTATCGAACACAATACGACCTTGCGAGTCGATTGCTAAATGATTGAGGAGTAGACCTTTGGCACCTCCTTCGTCGAAATCCGCCGAGGCTTTCTTGAATAGTGGATCGACAGAGAATTCAAGTTCGAACTTTTTCAATTGCAGAGCAGCGAATGAACTTGCTAGAGTTGCTTCTGAAGAGCGCTGGGCCTGGTTGAGTCAGTAAATATTTCGGCTGCGCTTTAGACGAGGCATATCCGCCCCCAAAAGGCGTAGGAAGCAGAAGCTGGGAAAACGAAAAAAGAAGGGGCTAAAAGCTGCAAGCTTTTAAGCAAAAACATCCCCTAGTAATCGATCTGGGTGATGTTGAAAAAAAAATTTGAACAAAAAAAGATAGAAGTGTATCCGAGCGTACTCGGGGACATGAACTCTAGAGAAGCTCTCTGACGGGGAGTCGAACCCCGATCTCCCGCGACTTGTCTTGAGTGACAAGCGGAAATCATGACCGTTAGACCATCAAAGATGTAGCTTTGAAGCTGCTTGATATGCCCAACAACCCTTATGTGGGTATATGTTGGCACGAAGACCGAAAGGTTGTCCAAGTTCCGAAATTCCGACGGTGTAGGGTGGCGCAGCAACAGGTCACTGAAAAAATTTGTGTGGGACAGTGGAAAATCGGGCATCCAGCCGACTCCCCATGCACCAACCACGCTCTCGATCGGCAAAAGGAAGAGAGACTTCTACGCTACTGCGGAGTCCTAGACCAAAGAGAAATGGGCATCCCGTCCACTCTGTCATACCTAGAGCTTTGAACCGGCAAAAATCAAAAGACAAAAGAAAGGCTGACTTTCAGCACATTCAGTATCTAGTAACATGTACGAAACTCATGAATAGCGTTGATATGACGGACTGTCCCAACTGATCGCTTGACTGTCTACTGTGAAGCCAAAAATTCAAAAAGATATTCCGGAACGGGGAATTGAACCCCGGTCTCCTGCGATCAGATTTCCTGCTGTATCAGCAGATCTTGAGAGGCAGAAATGCTAGCCACTACACCATTCCGGACAGTCCTACTTGGATGAGAGGGGATGGCCTATGTGAGCACATAAAAGCATCAAGAAAGCAGGCGCTGAAGAGACTTCGTTCGATGACCGTTTCGCTTAGTAACAGGAACAAAAGCTTGGGCATGCCCAACTGGCTGATGCGGTTTACCGTTCGAATCAGGTGTGTTTGATAAGAATCCACCGTTGCCGCCTGGCCCCCGGCCTCCGGCTTCGACTTCCAGCAAACAATGTGGAAGATGCTAAAATCCATCCTTTCCACTGGCAAAAGAAGGAAGGGGGTAGGGGGACTCGCAAAAATACAATGGCCACAGCACAGATATCAAACGATGCACTTTCCGAGGCTGTTCAAATTCGTCTCCGATGAAGCGAGCGCTTTGGGCACCCAAAAACAGTCGCTTCACCGGTCACGAAATCGGCCCGGCCTCGTTCATCCATCGTAACCACGAACTCCTTCCATGCAGTAGCAGTATCACCACAAAGGAGACTTCCTCAAATGTTCCCCAAATGAACCAAGAAAAAAAAAACATACAACAGCAGGTATTCGCTGGTGGTCACCCACCCAACTACTAATCTGCCGATCTGAGGCTTGTGTATGGCAGAGCGGACGGGATGCCCAACTTCTCTCAGTCTATGGTCGTATGTGACAGGACAGCTCTTATTCAGCTCCATGTCCTGTTCAAAGAAGTGGTGATGCTCGAATGTCCGTGAAGCTGTCTGCCAAAGTGGATGGAAAAGCCGCGCAGATCCAGGAATGTGGTGAGACGTTCGACATAGAATTGCGCTTGCAATCCAAGTGTCATTTGCCCCAGCAGTAGAAGAAGAAGTGCAACGTATTCGCAAGTGCGTCGAAATCAAACCAGCATAGAGAAATGTTGTCCACTCACCCGCTTCTTTGGCTTCTTCCTGACAACTCCATCTTCATCCTCCACCTCTTCCTCGCTCTCTTCGCCCTCCTCGCTTTCGCTCTTCTTCTTCTTGCTGTTTCCGCTGTCTGCTAAGCCGCTGAGAAGTTTTCCAGTCTCCGTTGCCACACTGTCGACTCTGCTGGTATAGATTTTCACACAACCGTCCAGGGTACAGCTGGCTTTCTGAAAGTTGACGCCATCTCCTTCCTTCAGTAGTGACATATCGTGGAAGTAGTCGATCAGGGCGAAGTTCCACGAATTGGCTGCATTGATTTTGTTGTCCGTAGCCATTTTCATCCACTCCTCGAAGTTGGCCAGAAGCGGTACCCGCTTCATGGGCGTGACAGCTGTCCCACCGACCATCATTACTCCTCCGTCCAGATCATTCTCCTTTCCCAGTGTCCGCCGTGGTGTTTTTGGGTTGGACGAAGGTGAGGAGCTGCCAGCTCGTTCGAAGTTGGCCAACTTGCGCATTGGAGACGCCGCAGCCTTGATCTGATTCATCTGTATATCATGGAGCGCATGTCGCGATTGCAGACGTTTTGCCTTCTCTTGCGCATCGTCGTTGAGGGGAATTCTGAATCATGTTAGAACAAGGGGGCGGATACAGCGAGACGGATGGGGATTCGTACTTGACGGGCGATTTAAATGGAGATGCAGCAATGGAGCCAGAGGCCACTCTGCCATTGCTGGCTCCGCGGGGATTTTGCGCAACTCGAGGCATAGTGCATCCGTCGTGTTGTGGTGTGGTGTGGTGTGGTGTTGTCGTTGTTCCGAAAGAAATGGAGGATCTTGAAATCGCGATGTTTACTTTGGTGGAGGTAACGCGCCTTGTTTACAGGCACGCCCAGCAACCCGCACCGCAGCACGCACAACATGGCGGAGAGTCGCGGCTGTCGTACTGTACCGTCCCCCACACTAACTTGGCCCATGATACATCAACGCCCTTATGTACCATAATGCGATCATAAATCAATAAACAAAAGTGAAAAAGAAAGGAATAATAGTTAAGCCGTCTCTTGATAATCTGTTGAGACTTCACAATGTTACATACCTATGTACTGTACTTGTGTTTACACTTCTCGAAATATTCCCCCCTGGGCTTGGACAGCTTCAAGTCTCCATTGGTTATTCTTTGGTCTTGGTTGGCCTTCATCCATCCTTATCTCCTTGTCGCTGCCTGCCTGCTTATCTTAGCGGGGGGCCCTCTACTGTACTGTACATACTATAGTACAGTACTCTACAGTACAGTATTATAGCACAGCTTCCCAGCTTCCGCATTGCGACAACGCAGATCGGAGTCCAATTGGATTCAGGGCAGCGGCGGAACTAAAGGCCCAGCCAGCCAGCAGCGTCATCGCCTCGCCTCGCCTCTATCTGGTCTGCTTCACCTCTCTTGCCGTGCCTTGGACGAGACGACCCAATGCTTGATTCTCATGCCCATCAACCCCCTCGGCCCATTCCCATTCGCATTCCCATTCCCACTTCCAACTCCACTTCCACTACTTCTACTACTACTACCACATCTTCCTCGACCTTCGCCGCCACCTCGATTTCTATCTCCTTGTCCTCCTCCAATTCTCTCGGCAACAATCGCATCGCACCACCCAACCCGCACTCCGATGCATCCCAGGTTATAATGCTTGGGGAACATGCGACAACAATCTCCCAAGGCAGTGCCGAAGCGCACAGCGCGATCGCCCAGGAGGTTTAGATTCCGTGCATTCTACATTACTGTGCTCTGCTTGTCCCTGTTGGCTGTCATCAGTCTCGTTGCAGAACAGTCTGCCAGATACCGACATGGCGCTCAGTATGGGCTGGCGCAAAGAAGAGCTCTGGAGCAGCTGGATGTCAACCGACTTGTGAAGAGAGACGAAGAGGTAGGTCAGATCTTTGTTTTCTTAGGATCCCTTCGCTATTAGAGCTCCAGACTGATATTCTTCGACCCTCACAGTGTCGCCTGGTTCATCATGCGGAGGATAAATGCGCATTCATAAAAGCAAACTGCCCCGACGAAGAAGCAGGCCTCTTCTCCTACCTGTCACTATACTACTGCGGACTCCAAAAGGCACAACCACTTGCCTTCGTAATCCTCTCGCTATGGCTTGCCCTACTGTTTACGACGATTGGCATCGCTGCCTCGGACTTCTTCTGCATCAACCTGAGCACCATTGCGTCGATACTAGGCATGAGCGAGAGCATGGCGGGAGTAACATTTCTAGCCTTTGGCAACGGAAGCCCAGATGTGTTCTCTACCTTTGCCGCAATGAGCTCGCATAGTGGGAGTTTGGCTGTGGGAGAATTGATCGGTGCAGCTGGATTCATTACCGCGGTTGTGGCGGGGTCCATGGCATTAGTACGGGAATTCAAGGTTGGAAAGAAAACATTTGTGAGAGATGTTGGATTTTTCATTGTTGCTGCGAGCTTTAGTATGGTGTTCTTGGCCGACGGAGCATTGCATTTATGGGAATGCTGCGTCATGGTAGGATTCTACGTCTTCTATGTGGTAGTGGTGGTAGTTTGGCACTGGTACCTCGGACGGAAAAGGAGACACCGGGAAAGGGAAGCTGCTGCCCGTGGGCAGTATTTCGCTATGGCAAATGAGGAGATAGAGGTTAGCGAAGAAAATGATGACGATGAAGACGCACCAGCAGGGACGGCCAGATACAGAGACACTGAAGATTTCGCTGCTCTGGAAAGAGCTGCGAGTCCAGCTCACTTGAACGACGAGAGCGATGAAGATGGAGATGAGGGAATGCACCTCGCCGCGGAAATGGCAAGCAGCATGCGAGTCACCAGGCCAGCAGGAAGTCGTAGGAATACGATTACTCCTATCCGCCCAAGTCTGGTGGGTGCCTTGGAGTTCAGATCGGTTCTTTCGTCATTGCAGAAGGCTCGAGGGTCAAATGCAAGGCCAATTCATCTACGCAGATATTCGGATGATCCTACATCAGGCTTTGTGACCCAGGTTGATGGCACAGGAGTGTCACAAGAACACTACACAGATATCCCTGATTCGGAGCTTATGCCAGGATCAAATGGAAACGACTCTTCGAGGCTTGGGCCGCCTACTATCAGGACGAGAGCTGTATCGCTCAACGATGCTGCGAGCGCCAAAGCAACCGACCCTGCTGCTTTCAGTGTCGCAACAATACCGCATATTGGAGTCGTTGCTGCAACACCCACCTTTCCACAAAATCTGCAAGTCCCTTTGCCAGGGTCCATTCATAGCTCCCCATCTATTCAAGGTCGGCCTCCGGCCTCACCAACCTTTTCAATCTCTCCTCCACCCTCTATAAATGAGTCCCGAGATGCTAGTCCTTCCCCTTCTCAGGAACGGTCGAAACGTGGTACACTTGCACCTCCAGAAGAAGGTTTCCCAGGGGCAAGACACTTACGGACAGACTACTTCAAAGATCATGAAGTAGAGCGAGACTCTACGCACGATTCCCCGAAGATGAGATCTAGAGCTGCTCAACGACCCCGGCTTCAGATTCCTGGCTCTTCATCAAGAGAGAGCTCCCATACGCGAACTCTCTCACCAATCATTCAATTTCCGGCTTATACTGATTCTCCTGCGCCAATGTCAGCGATCAGTTCGAAAGCCCCAAGTATTATGCTTCCAGAGCCAGAAATGACATCCGAATCGGTATACGGCAGCCACGACATGGAGTTTCAGGAAAGGCCGATATGGTGGTGGCCTTACCGATATCTTCCAAGCCCCCGTATACTGGGATCCACACTTTTCCCTACACTCTACACATGGCGAGAGAAGTCTATATGGGACAAATTCGTCGGATTGATATCGGCACCAAGCATCTTCCTTTTGGCTGTCACTCTTCCAGTAGTAGAGTCCGAAACTCAGGACGATGAGGCAGAAGTGGCTACCCTTGACGAGAGAACCCCGTCCTTACCAAGACGTCAAAGCAGTGTTGTTCCCCCCTTGACACCAGACAGTCCATCACTAGAGAATGAGCCAGAATGGATTCGTTATCGACGAGCGACGGAATCACACAGCTATCCACCACGGTCGCCACAGGTTCAGGGCTACAGCGGACATAGCTCTGCAGCTGTCGCTGTATCAGCCGAGAACCTC